ATATATATATATATGCCAGCCAAATAAGCATCCACTCTAACATTTACAGCTAGAAAATGTCAGATAATTGTAACGCAAGACTGATAAGCAAGACTAAAAAATCCAAATAACGTTGTCCTGCAACGCACAAGTCCATCATCCATATAATCATCATAGGTGTGGAGTGTGATAAGGCAGGTACTATGTCAATTAAACATCCATATTTGATTGTGGCACAATCTCAACGATTCGTCAGTCTCCCGTACGAAAAATATCATACTATTATACAAGAATGCAGTGAGCCAATTTATATTACTATCTACATTCAGTACCCCTGAATCATATTTCATGTTTTCATCCTTTTCCTTGCTTTAACTAACCCAGATAAGAAATCATAGCTATAAAACGACAAGCGGAAAATAAAAAAGGAAAGAATCCAGTGAAATGACAATTGGATTCACCTAATTAACAATTTTAGTATTAAATATATGCATGTTGACTAATGTGACTCAAAAGCTTGAATATAATATGCCAGCACAACACAACAGATAAAGCAGCTCTTTAATTTTTTAATATTATCATTCTACACACCAAAAAAAAAAAAAAAACCAAAATCTTACAAGAGGCAAACGTCTAAGGCGGTGAGGAGATCGGCGCAAGGGCTCACAATCGTTCACATCGAGGCGATCACGGCGGGTATTATTATTGCCGGTTGGCTGGTGGTTGTGATGATGATGGCGGCGATTATGAACGCTGTGGTTGTGAGAAATTCGACTTGTCGATAAATCGGACCCTAATTCGAGATCGCTTCGACCGTAACGAGACCTCCTAGTGAAAAATAGCTCTGAAGCACTCGTCATACAATTACAACACGGTTTCTTCTAGTTTACCACCTTGCAATGCTCTGAGAAGGATGAATATATATATACATACAAAAAAAAAATCACCAGTTATAGGAAATTCCATTGAAACAGACAAGAAAAATCTCATACCTTAGGAAGAACCGGCGAAATGAGGAGGAAGAAGCAGATTAAGCAAGTTGGACTAATTCGGTTACTAAATTGGTCATATGGATGATGCGAACAAAAATAAATGGGCTGGGCCTTTCTTACATCAGTGACTCATAAGCCCAATGTGTTTATTTGAATATTATTAGTATACTTAAATTTTAGAAAAACTATCTAATTAAAAAAACATTCCTACTGTAAATACTTACCACTCTATAATTTGAAATAATTACCTACCTTCTAACTAATTAATAATTTCACATTAGATTTCGAGATGGATGCACCACTCCTTCAGATTTCAAGTCAGATATACATGTACCAAAAGATACAAGTATCATTGAACCAGATACATCTGAAATACAAATATATGTGAGGGAGATGAGCAAGAGAGGAGAGAAGTGAGCGAGAGAGTTAACATGTATATTTGATACATGATACATTTTGAAATATAGATACACAGGGAGAGAGGCGAGTGAAAGAGACATTATATCCTAGATACATATGAATCATGTTTGAATATAGTGTATTTGGAAAAAAAATTACCCTATTTTGACTGGCATGTATCTGAGATATATGTATCTGGCGAAGTAAATGTGGTATGAAAGGTAATTTCAAAAACTAAAGTGAAGGAACGTAATTAGATCCTAAATCAGTGGAATTTGTGTTGTTTGCTCATTAATCTTTAATACTAAAAGGCCATTTTTTATCATCTAAAAATCATGTATATATTTACTGTATAATTAAATTTATATATGTAATACCTAAAACGTATAAATGTTTTTAAAATAATAATGAAATCTTGCTTCTAGACTTGTAGATTTTGAGTATTGAAACCTATAGTTTAAGTCACCAAATGGAGGTGTTTGTATGATTATTTTGAAGGGTAAATATTAGAACAATCTTTTTCGTTTAGTTAGATGTCTTTGTTCAAAATAGTTACTTGAAAATCATACTTGGTGACAAATTATTTAGGCCAAAATTTATCGAGTACAAACAATTTGCTGATGTTGGTAATGACAATGATTAACATCATTAGGCATTATTTTATACGCCACTGAAGAGACACCATTATGTCAATGGCTATATATTTATCATCATAGGATCCATTATTTATTTCTAATTTTCACCCTTTTCATGATTATCTTCTCAATCTTTTGGCACTCCACGGACTTTCTAATTCATGGATTATATTTTATTCCATTAATCATTTTCACCCTCTTCGCGGGGACTTTGCGGATTTAGAAATAATGATTAATATGAATATTTTATAATAGTTCATATGAAATGGTGTTTAATTTTAATTCTTGAAAATAATTTGAAGGATAGATAATTAAAATTTACCTAATTTTCTAATAAGCTAAAAATGACAAGTAAATATGAAACATTTCTCTAATATAATAAACAGGTAAATTGAACAGAGGGAATATCAATTGTACGTTATATGGCAACTATTTCCCAATAATTCAAAATATTTTATATTAGTTTAATAAAAATATTTTCATATAAATTGTGACAAAATTCAAAACTCGAATATATTTAACTATTCAACGATTAAATTTTGATGTGATATTTTTTCTATCGACCTAACTTTTTAACCATTACTTTAATTAATGCTTCCATTACTAGTATTTATACAAAGCTAGGGTAAATATCCGGTTAAATCAGTACAAAGTGGTGTATGTTTGAGTTTGTATTAGTTTCGTCGGAAGTAGGTCATCAAATTTTTCAAAAGTACGGTAGATTTAGACGATTCAATTCAAATACATATTTTAAAAAATCCATGAAAAATAAATAACTTAGAGCCCATTTGGATTGACTTAAAAAAAGTAACTTTTTAAAGTGATGGAACTTATTTTAAAAATAAGTAGTTATGTGTTTGGATAAAAGTGCTGCAGTTGAAAAAAAAGTTGTTGATGTGTTTGACAAATAAGTGCTGGTAAACACTTTTTTTAATCAAAATGTCTGAAATACCCTTTAAGCTGTTAACATGATAAAAAGTTGATTAATTTAAGGTTTTTATACTT